AAAAAAAAAAAAAAAAAAAAAAAAAAAAAAAAAAAAAAAAAAGGTACTGCTGGGAGGCCATAGGAAGGCTGTCTTACAGACAAAGTGAAGGAATCAGAAGCAATTACCTGGCCCATCGGTGGGACCCCCCGAGCAAGTGATAGCAGCTCTTGAGGATGGGAAGTTTATTGTCCTTATTCCACACGTAGACTCGCAAGGAGAGGTCGAAGGAAGAGGTGATGACTCGGCTCTGGTCCTTGAAATGAAAAGCCACATGAGGCAGGGATGTGGGCTCCCAAGGCGGGGCTCCGAGGCGCGGGTGGGGCAGGTGCCACACTCACCACCCTCATGGACGTGATGGGTTTCTGGTGGTCCTGGAAGGCTGCCAGCTGCAGGCCGTGTATGGTGAAGAGCACCAGCTCCGACCCAGACACCAGCAGGATCACCTGGGAGCTGTGGCCCTTCATAAGGTGAGGGGGCATCATGGTGTTTGGCAAGACGAAACTTGTGATCTGTTGGACTTTTTGAAATAAAAACACACAGATTATCACGTCTCGATAGCAACTGGAATCTGGAACAGACATGCCTCACTAAGACGATGCAGTACACTGAAAAGAGCAATGACTTTCCAGTTCCAGCTGCATTCAATCCTGACCCATGCATTTACTCCCTAAATCTCCCATTCATTGGCGCTAACATATTGAGCAGGACTGACTGACTTACAAGAGAGCACTATGCATGTGTGGGTGACAGAATCGGGCACGCAGCACCATCCAGGGAATGGGGCAAATGAATCCCCTTCCTCCTACCCTTCCCCATCTATCACAGGGTAATGTCAGAAAGGGCCACATAAGAACTATGATATTTATGACACCTACCAAAAACTATTGTTGATGATACTGTTTTTTACACTGTATGGCATTCCTTGTTTTTTAAAAAAATTCAATTTGATCATTTCCTAATGGAGTTTAGCACCAGGAAGAAAAAAATTACCTCTTTTGAAGAATTTATGTGCTTTCTTGTGTTAGACAAAGGATTATATAACACATCCTGTTTCCCCTTTTTCCTCGGCTGCCAGGAAGCTCAGAGTAAAATTTACGGTCAAATGATGACATGAAAACAAATGAACATAATACAAAAGAAAAAAATGCTAAGGACCACAGGGAAGGTCTGTCAGAGTGACGTGGGGTTTGGGAGATGGAAGGAGAGGGCTGTGTGTCTTATTTTCCTACTGGACTAGGAGCTCCTGGGGTAAGACAGTTGTGGCTTTTATTCATCTTTGTGTGCACTCGGTGCTGAGAACACTGCCTTTGACCCAGTCATGAAAAGAGAGGTAGGGATGAACAGAAGCAGGAAAACAAGTTAGGAGAGGGGAGATGGGGTGGACAGTAGTTAATGTCTGAATCTCAGAGGGCCTGATATGAAGCAGATGCTCAGATACCCAACCAGTACGTAAGATCACAAACAAGGAAACATTTGTTGGGTTACTGTATTCACAGAGAGGAAAGAAAAAGTACCCCAAAGGAAACACGAGGAATCTGCGCTTGAAGCATCGTATGCAATGGTGGTGACATGCAGACCCACGGGTCCTGCCTAATACGGGATCCTTACCCAGAATGTCCACTCCATCCCTGGATTTCTTGGCCCTTAGCTCATAGGTGGTGACAACCAACTGCATGCCATTGTCATTTCTATGCATCACCACCAGCCTGGCTGCCTCATCGGGGGCCCAGCAGGCTCTGGAAGTCAGCCAGATGGGGAGAGTGGTGGAGACAGGAGGCACGTCTTCCGAGGGACACAGCAAGGAGTGTGTGTGGAACACCTGGGGATCACCACCGCAGTGTCATCCCTGGTGACAGAGGGACTTCGCCGACCCAGGAGCACTTTGAGAGGACCCCCCCCCCATTGTCTGGCTGCTCTGCCCAGGGACCCACACCCACAATGACCTCACCGGTCTCATGGGCGACTGTGCCCCTCATGGACCCTCCTTTTCAGATGGCTCAGACCAGGTGAGGGAAGTTAATCCCAGCACGAGACTGGCCCGTGAAAACATCTCAGCACAGAGTCCCAATGAGGGCGAGGGGTGAATGGATCCAGTAAACAACTTTCTGAGCAGCGGCACATCCCTGTCCTGCTTTTGCCTCCAGTGTCTGCCTCCGTGTTCCCTTCCTCCCTGCCAGCAGTCTGGCTCCAAACACCTGCTCTCAGTTCCTGGGACTGCTTTGCCAAAGGTCCCCTTCCTGGTGGCTGCTGCCCCCACCTCCAGTCCCACAGCTTCTCTGCTTCGGCTGCCCCCTCCCTGAGCAATCCTGTCTTCTGCCCCTGCCCTCTCTTCCTGTCCTGTCGCATTCCCCCACTCCCAACATGTCTCAAGACCGTCTCCAGCTATCTGCTTCCTACTCTGGTCTAATTTTCCAGTTCGGTTCCTGGCACTCAGGCTGGACGTCTCTGAGCCCATAAGTCACTGGGACTCTCCCCTGGTCACAGGGCACTGGTAGTGCTGGTAGAGCCACCCTGTCACACAGGCAGCCATACAGCAGGCCCATGGCCCATGCTGTGCCCCCTCCAGGTAACAATGCTGTCCCACGCTGTCGGCATCTCCTCATGCCTGATGTGGACACTCTCTCGTCCTTACTCTCACTGCAGCTCTGTTCTCAGGCCACCAAATGTTTTTTGAGCTTTTCCACAGTGATGTCCCTAAGGCCCCAACCCTGTTCAAAACTAATTTTGCCCTCTCCTTGAGCAACTGATTCCTTCCAGCCTGTGGGCAATATGGCAGCCTAGAAAGAGCAGAGGCTCTGGGGAGAGGCCAGCACCACCACTGCCCAGCCATTGGCCCTGAGTGGTCACAGACTTGGTCCTGCATGAGAAGCTGCCGTCTCAGACACATCTAGCAAGACGGGGCACAGAACCCGCTACCTGCACACACAAAGCAAGGCCTGTGGGGCCAAGGACATGCCCAGCACTGACCTTGGGGCCCAGGTCTGAGTTCTGGGTCCATACAAACACCCACTGGTGGTCAGGAGAGCAGAGCAGACTGGTGGGGTGGTTCGGGAACACGCTCACCCTGGACAGCAGCTGCAGCCGGGGCACCGTCAGCGTGTAGAGTGCTCCATCGGCACAGGCGGCCTGCCAGGCGAAGGCACAGTGACCATCTGCATCGTCGTATCCTCGCCTGAGAAGCAGGTGGCCGCTGCATAACTGCCTCCTTGCCAGGGCGCAATGCCAGGTTTTTTAAGTCAAAAATAAATTCACTCAATACCTAAGTCTCCGTGCAGAAGGCCAGGTGTGGCTGCCAGCACCCTCTACTCGTCATGCTCAAGTGTCGCTCTGTAGCCTGCATTTTCTGTTTTCAACTTAAAATATTCCTTGAAAATATTTCCACATCAGAGGACATTTTCCCATGACTTTTACTTCCTCTTATTTGATGGAAATTTAAGTTGTTCACAAATTTTGTTACCAGGAACAATGACTGCTGCAATAAACACTCCTACTCGCCAGTTTATGCAGCAAAGCCAATATTTCCTTCTGAAGGAGCTGGAGGAATAACTGAACTGGAATTATCAGGTTAAAGAGTATCAGATTTAAAACTTTTAACAGGATAAAAAAAAGCTTTTAAAAATAGTTTCAATCTATAGTCTATTTGCCATGTATAAAAATACCTATTTTTCATCTAACTTACTATAATACCAATCTTTTTATCCCATAGGTAAAAAGCCTTGTTTTAATGTCACTTTGATTTCTAGTTGGGTTTCACATCTTTACATATTATTGGCTTTTTGTACTTTTTTCTATGAATTGACTATTCATAGCTCTCCTTATTTTTCTACTAGATTTCTATGCTTCAAATAATCTGATATTAATGCTTTGTTAAATAAGATAACAGTGTTTTCTCATTATTTTTCATGTGTCTTAATTTTATAATACTCTAGTTCAGATGTTGTTAGTTTTTTAGGTAAATCAAATCTGTGTATTTTTTCTTGACTCCAGGTTGTACCTTGCCTAGCAAGGCTTTGCACATCCCAGGTTGACTTAAAAAACCGCATATATATTCCTCAGATAATTTTATAACTGCCTTTTACATCGAGTTTCTAATTATACTAAATGTATTTCTACCAATGGAGTGATGTGAGAGCAGCTTATTTTCTTCTTCCCAATGGTCAGGTGCTCCGTTTCTTGAACAGCTTGTCCTTTACCTACTATTGTAAAAGAACACCTTCCCACACAGATCCTGACATATGAAACCTGACCTAGACTTTCTGTTCTGTTCATCTTAAATAAAAATACCTCTTCTTACTGTCCAAGAAAACAGAAAAACTTCAACACACATGGAAAATGGCAACATTCAAACAAGGTCATGAAAAGAGAAGGTGAGAAGCAAAACATTTTAGCTGGTAAAACTACCCGCCGAAAGGACCACCAGGAATCAGAGATCACACCCAACATGAGTTAAATATCATAAAATGAGCATTTGCAGATATGAAGGGACACCGTGCATCAGAAATTCAACACTCAACAGAAATGGATTAAAAAAACAAGAAGTGAAATAATAGTTAAATTAATTCAGGAAAGATACTGATGAAGATTAACAATAAGGCTAAGAGAGAAAACATTCAACTGAACAAGTAAGGGCACTAAAGAAGAGAAAGAAAACAGACAAGAGAACCAAAATGGAATAAAGAGCTAAAAAGAACTGAGACCCAGGATGACGACTGCAGACATGTCACAATAAAACTACTAGACTTTAAAAGATTTCAAGAAATCCTTTAAGGCCTTTGATTTAAAAAATTGAGTGTCTAACAAGGAAAGTAAGTCAGGGTGCCAGTAGGCTTTTCAACAGAAATACACAGTGAAGTAATATTTTCAAACAAAATTCAAGAAAAGTGAGCAGGGATTTGGTACCCAGTCAGGGCATCCTTCAGCATCAAGATGACAGAAAAACGATGCTACACGTGCCTCACCCGCTCCTGGGACAGCAGATACTAGACTCTCTCATGGATCCTTTAGCACCTTGCTACTCAAAGGGTGATCTGTGGACTGGCAGCACCAACGTTCCCGAGAAGCTTGTTAAGTCAGCACCTCAGGCATCCCCAGGAGCCCCTGAATCGAGTCTGTGTTTATGCAGATGCACAGGTGACCCGTGTCCCATCGACATCTGCGAAGCACGGGTCCAAGCCTCTTGCCCTCTCTTCTGCACCTCCACTCCTCATATCCCCATTTCATCTAGGCAATTGTTTTTATCTTTCAGTTAACTAATTCTCTTTTACGTTCTAACTTTTTAAGTGCTGTGCATAACACATGTATGGCAAATTGCATAAAAAATCAACATGGAGCTCAATAAATTATTACACAGCAAGTATTCATGTCGCCACCTAAGCTAAGGAATAGAACGTTGCCAGTGGCCACCAGCTGCCCCCACTCTCCCCAACCTCTGTGTGGTTCCACTGTCCACCCTGCTATCAAATCCATTCCTGACTCTTGACCTCTGTTATTCAATTTTTCTGTTCTACAATTTCTAGTTGGTTCTTTTCTAAATCCAGTATGTCATTTTTTTATAGCTTTAAGTTCTCTGAGAAACCTGTCTTCCTGATCACAGCAACCACAGTGTCTCTGTTAATAACTGCAGTATCTGAAGCCTCTGTGGCTCTCAACATCATCTGCTATTTATCCTGCTAGTTCTAGTTGGTACTATCTTATCTCCTTGTGTGCCTAGTTAGCTTTAGGCATGTGCTGAATGCTGTATCTGAAAACAGAAATAATATGAGGCCTGGGGTAACGTTATCCTCTTCCAGAAAGGGTTTCCGTTCACTCCTACCAGGTGGTGGGGGTGTTGAGCTCAACAGGTGCGAGGGCTGTGTGCTTCCAGCAAAGCCTTACTCTTAGGTTGCAGCACTTGATAACCCACCCAAGGCTCCAACCCTCTGTGGCCCACACTCCAGTTTTTGTCCTCTGGCTGGGAGAGGACTGCCACCCATAGAGGCTCTTAACAGCCGGGTCACTCACCAGCAGGACTGGGCCCTCTGGGTGGTTGCATGCCTCCAGCGCAGATGAGTGTGTAGGCAGGCTGAAGGAGGCTGACTCACACCCACTCTCCGCTTCCCACATTTTGATTAGTCCTTTCTCGTCCACAGTGACAACCAGTTGCAGCTGAGGGTAGGTCACCAAATTCACCAGAGCAGCAGGCTGTACAGGGCTTGACCAGATCTCTGTGCCCTGGCAACAACAAAGTTAATATAAGAACTTACATAGGGCTCATTTATTAATATTTCATAAACACATATTTTTTTCATTCAGCTATCACCCAGTGCACACTGGGGACATTCAGGTGAAAAGGGTGCAATCCCGACCCTCACAGGACCCACAATGTGGCAGGGACCACCACAGAAGTGGTGTTTCATGGTGGAGGAGACAGGTGTGTCCTGCAGGACAGCAGTGGCTGAGCATGGGTGTGTGGAGACTTCTGGAGGGCTGGGTGGCATCAGCAGGAGGACCGAGGGTGGGGCCTGGGGTGCGTGCTGGTGCGGTGTGTCTGAAGCACGTCCAGTGGTTACCTACAGCTTAACTGAGGAAGGCTGGGCAGGGAGGCGGGATCTTATCTATCCACCCTGCTGCAGACCTGGCCACCACGGCTGCAACAGAGAACCTCCCGATGGAGCGTCCTGCTCAGTCCTGCGTGGTCCAGTGTCACAGATAACCTAATTTGCGCTGTGGATATGAATGCTTTATGTTGCATGTCTGCAGCTGCCCTGCTCATAACACCCCTTTCCCTGCGGTAAACCCAGCAGCGCCACCACAGGCCAGCCATGTCTCAGGCCCACGCCCAGAGGAAAACCAGTGGCCCTAGCTGGGTGGATTCCATGGTCTCTCCCAGGACTCTGAGAACTGGATAGGACAGGCCAAGAGCCTGGGTGCCAGCAGGCCCACAGACATTAAGACAGGGCATCAGAGAACCAATCCACTAAACGTTCCCACGTTTCCCAGAGCTGCCACACAAGGTTTATTTCTAATTTGGGTTTTTTATTATCCTTTTTCTATCATGTTATCTTTTTATCACGATCTCCGTTTCCAATCATGATATCTCAGTATTCTTCCATTAGTTTCTCTTTTCCCCCCTCAGGTCAAGAAATCAACAGCGATTTCTGTTGCCATCACTAGTACAGATCTTAGCACTGGTGATGGGCTGATGGTGAATTTTGGAGAATACAGAATATTTTCTGGTGGTTAATGTGGCACGAAGTGGGCAAAGGAGCAGCTGGACTCTCCCTCCTATGTCAGAATGGAAAGCAGTGGCCAGCAGAACAGGAGGGGAAACACGCTGCCCAGTGACGGCTTGGGGTCCTGACCCCACCTGATGTGCCCCAGAAACAAGAGACATGGTGCCCAGGTAGTCAGAGGTTTCTGGTGGCATCAGGCACTTCAACACTAGAAAAAGACAAACTCAAACCCTAGCACTCTCCAGGGGACAGCGGCTAAAACATGGAGGCAAATACTGTGAGTACATAGAAAACTATCGCAATTTTTTTAAAGAACCATTACTGACTTCAGAAAAAGCAAAATGTTCGCTTGGCTGTGAAAAGCATTTACATAAATATAATAATATAAACAATACATGTCATTATTTAAGGACAGGAAGGTCATCCTATGTGGAGGCAGGAGGAGGAAAGCAAACCATCTTCCACAGAACTCAACAGATGCCTAACATTTAGATGCCTAATTATCCCCTAATTTGGGGAACATCGTTTCCTCGGGATTGGAAAAATAAGAATGGGACCAATTGGTTTTTTTAACAAGCCCTTCAGAACTTTGACCCTTAACCTGTGTACCACTGCAATGTTAGTGGCATCCCGGTCGGTTTCTGTCACTTAGCTGTGAGGTAACTGCAAAATATTGCAATGGTTTTAGTTTAGGGTTTTTTTTGTGGGGGTTTTTTTCAAAAATACTTTGATGACTTTTACAAATAAACAAATATTTTAAAAACTGTATTCCTGAATATAGGTCCAAAAAAAAGTTAAATAAATGATGGCAAACTGAACCCAGTGGTACTGCATAGAAAGACTCACTCTGGGTGAGAATGGGGAAGGACCACACCACGGCCACAAAGGACATGAGAACGCCAGCATCGGGCCACGTTAAGGCAATAACACTTGAAATTGAGAAGAAATCATTTTCTAGCAAAATTCAAGTGATTCAACTCGACTGAAGAACAGGTAAAAGACTGGACAGGAGAGGAGTTACAGAGAAAACTGAAAAGGCAGAGACAAAAGGCCCAGACGCTTCACAAGTGACTCAATCTGTCTCTGAAGAAATGTGTAATTCCTGTACTATTTCTTTTATTATTTCAGGTGTAGAAAGCATTACAAAGCTCTCTGATGCATCCTGTGACAGTCGCAACAAAACAAAATACAGACAAATATACTTAAGGAGATGAAAAGGTTTTAAGTATTATTATTATTCAGAGCCCCATCAATATATTAAAAAATTATTTACTATGACCTATTAGGGTTGGTTCCAGAAATGCAAGGATAGTTCAAATAATTTGTTGTTTTCAAATTAAAACTGGGGAACCATAGGAGATAATGCCCCCAAAAGTGCTGGCACCTACTGCCAAATTTTAACAGCCATTTCTGATTTTTAAAAAATCCCTAAGTAACGTAGGTCAATTATATAATAGATAATATTTACCAGACACTAATAGCAAATCTCAAATTCAAAAGAGATCTGCACAGCAAAGGAAACAATGAACAGAATAAAAGGGCAATATATGGAACAGGAGAAAATATTTGCAAACTGTCTATTAGATAAAGGGTTAATTCCCAAAATATATAAGGAGCTCTTAAAACTCCAGAGCAAAAAATTAGCAACCTGATTTAAAAATGGGCCAGGGGCCGGCCGAGTGGCTCAGCTGGTTAAGAGCTCGCTTGGGAGCCCCAGCTTTGAGCAGCAGGGCTGCGGTTCAGATCCCACATTGAGGGCCAGTGACGCTCGCCCTCTACAGCTAAGATGATGAACACAACAGCTCGACCTGGAGCTGGGCTGCTGTGAGTCGCCGGTGACGGCGTAGGCTGCAGCCCCTGCTGCAGTGGGTTGCTGTGAGCTACGTGAGTGGCTGGCAGCCAGCGTGAGCGGCTGGTAACTGGTGTGAGCTACCGGGAGCCGCTGTGAGCGGCCGACCAACGACCGGTGACCAACTGCCTCACCCGGGAAGAGCACAATGATCATACCAACATGGGCCAGTGAAGTGACGCCCTCCACAACTAGACTGAAGAATAAAACAGCAATTTGTCTACCTGTCTGTTCCCCTTCCCTGATTTCCCAATGCTGTTACCCTTCCCCCAACTCCCCAATAAAATCTTTAAAAATAAAATAAATAAATAAATAAAAATGGGCCAAAGGCTTGAACAGACATTTCTCTAAGACATACAAATAAATGGCCAACAGTGCTCAATGTCACTAATCATCAGGGAAATGCAAATCAAAACCACAATGAGATACCACCTCACCCGTTAAGATGGCTACTAGTCAAAACAAAATTAAAAAAAAAAAAAACAAGTGTGGCAAGCATGTGGAGAAGAGAAAGAACCCTGGTTCAGTATTGATGGGAATGTAAATTGGTGCAGCCACTATGAAAAACAGTAGGGAGCGTCCTCAAAAAATAGAACTACTATATGATCCAGCAATCCCACTTCTAGGTATTTATTCAAATAATTGAAATCAAGACCTTGAAGAGATATCTGCACTCCCATGTTCATTTCAGCATTACTCACAACAGCCAAGATATGGGAACAACCTAAATGTCCAACGATGGATGAATAAAGAAAATGTGGTGTGTGTATGTGTGTACACATACCCCCTGACACACACATAACATACAATGGAATATTACTCAGCCTTAAAAAATGAAATCTTGCAATATGTGATAACATGGATGAATCTTAAGGACATTATGCTAAGTGAAATAAGGCAGTCACTGAAAGATAAATATTGTAGGATTCCACTTACATAAGGTACCTAAAATTGTCAAACTCATAGAAGCAGAGAGCAGGATGGTAGTTGCCAGAGGCTCGGGGAGGGAAAGTGGGGTGTTGCTGTCTAATGGGTATAAATTCTCAGTTATGCATGATGAAGTAAGTCTAGGGATCTGCTGCATAACACTGTGCCTATGGCTACTGTACATTTAAACATCTGTTAAGAGGGTAGATCTCATGTTAAGTGTTCTTACCAAAATAAAATAAAAATCAAGAGAAAAACTAAAGACATACCTAGAAAAGAACCAGGAGCAAGACAAAAATGCATACCACTATTAATCAATATGATTTTAGAAATCCTACATAATGGCATAAGGACTGAAAATAACAAATACAAATATTAGAAATTATATGATGTGGTATATAAAACTGAAAACAACAAAGGAACAAGACAAACAAAGAAACAAAAACTCATGGACACAGACAATAGTTTAGTAGTGACCAGAGGGGAAGGGGGAAGAGGGGTGGTAGATGAAGGTAAAAGGGATCAAACATATGGTGATGGAAGGAGAACTGACTCAGGGTGGTGAACATACAATGTGATATATAGATGATGTATTACAGAATTTTACACTTGAAGCCTATGTAACTTTACTAACAATTGTCACCCCAATAGACTTTCATTAAAAAAAAAGAAATTACATAATGAAAATATATTATTTTCAAGTGATATTATTATAAATAGTGAACACCTAAAAACTATCATAAGAGACTTTATTGAACTGGGTAATACAAGATACAAATACAAAAAAGTCAGTAGTTTTTCTTTATACTCACAGTATCAAGATAGAAACAGAAATAGAAAAATATCCCATTCTTATGCTATTACTAGCATATTATTTAGCAACTTATTAGCTATTATCAACAATGTAAAAAGCTAAGAATAAGTTTAGCAAGAGGAGTAAAGAATATTTAAAGACTTTACTCATCAATTTAAGAGCCAAACAAATACAAACAGCCTATGTTTCTCAATGGGAAGATTTAATGCATTACAAAATGTCAGCCCTTTCCAAAAGGACTTATGAATGTAATGCATCTCAATCAGACTTCAAATTTGATTTGTTTTAGACCTCAGAAAAATGGCTCCAAAATTCATATGGAAGAATGACTATGAGGGAAATTTTGAAAACACAGCTGTAAAGAGGATCTGCCCTATAGATATTCAAAACTTTATGAAGCTAAATTACAAGCTATTCAAATAACATGACTCTAGCACAACAACCATGCAAATAAATAAAACAAAAAAGAGGTCAAACGGAGGCCCAAATGGGAATTTGTCAGTGCAGAAAAGACTGTTTATTCATTAAACAATGTTGAGACAGCTGGCTATGTAGTTAGATGAAACTACAGGCAAATCCTACTTCCAATCATACACAAAAATAATTCTTGATGAATTAAAGATAAAAATGTAAAATGTGTATATATTTAATTGTTCCATTTTATTATTGTTGTCATTAATCTTTTCCTGTGCCTAATTTATAAATTAAACTTTATCATAGGTATGTATGTACAGGAAAAAACATAGTATATATGGGGTTCAGTACTATCCACGGTTTCAGGCATCCACTGGGGGTCTTGGAAGGTATCCCTGCTGATAAGGCAGGATTACTATAAATGCATATCGCTAAGTGAAAGAAGCCATTTTGAAAAGGCTATGAGGTGTGGTAAAAAAATACAGTGAATGTTTAAATTTTTAAACGTTATTACAGTAGAAGACACATTGCCATTAATCCCCCTCAAAGTGCTCCCCCCTTGCTTCGAACACACTTATGCCATTGTTCTTGCTGCTTTCTGAAGCAGTTCTGGAAGTCTTCTTTTTGGGAATGTCTTTAGTTGTGCTGTCGTGGCTGCCTTGATGTCCTGAATCAATTCAAAACATTTATCTTTCATGGTCATTTTGACTTTGGGGAAGAGCCAGAAGTCGCACAGTGCCAGATCCAGTGAATAAGGTGGATGGGGACACACTGTGATGTTTTTATTTGACAGAAATTGCCATATACCAGAAGCAATGTTTGACACAGAGCATTGTCATGATGGACAATGATTAATGGCACACTTTAAAACACATCTTCTCTCAACCGTAGCTCACACCTGACTGACTGGTCACACACTGTTATTAAGGTTCAATACGCCACTTCCTGTATTGAAGATCCCTGCCTTTCCCTTGGATGGAATTCGGCAGCAGCATTCACCATATTTTGTGATCATACTTCATATATACTATATGATTCCAACCAAATGACTGAACTTTCTTAAAATAAGGTTGAAACAAATGCTCATAAAGGGTATTAAGGCTGGGACCCAGGCAGAAAGGTGTAGAAGACTCTACCACCCTGAAACAATCTCAGTCCAGAAACAACAAACCTCACACTAAAGGGGCATTCAGTAAACTATGGCACACAGCCAAACCCAGCCCACTGCCCATTTTGTATTTTAGTTAAAAAACAAATCAAAATAATATTTCATGATGTGAAAATTACATGAAGCTCACATTTCAGTGTCCATAATACAGTTTTACTGGAACACAGCACTCTCTTTTGTTTACTTGTTGCCTGTGGCCACTTCTGCATTGCAACAACACAGCTGAGCAGTGTGACAGAGACACATGGGCTGCAAAGCTAAGATATTTGCTATCTGGCCCTTACAGAAAAAGCGTGCTGGCCCCCGCACCAAAATTCTCTCTGCCTAAGTCAGACCTTCTTGTTTTGGCAACTATGGAACCGCCCAGCCTTCAGAGCTTCCTGCCCAAGAGACGCTAACCTAGGGTCTGCCCGTAGCCATGTGTCTGCAGCCCGAGATAGGTCTTTTCCATGAGAGGCCTGTGGGGAAATGGGGCAACACAACTGTAATGAAAAACAAACTGGCCGCCTCCACCAATCAATCATCAGAGATCACCACTTGAAATTACCGTGTCAAACATCATTGTGTATATAAGAAAAACCAAGCACATGAGAAAAACCAAGAGAAACAACTGAAAAACTGGCTGAAAAAGAAATGATGTACATAACTGTATCCTTTAAACAAAAAAAGAACAGTTGGAAAATATGAAAGAGTTCCTGGAAATTAAAAATGTTTCTATAAAGCAGACAATCAACAGACACTCTCTAAAGTATACAGATCAAAAAAAAAAGAATCTATTAATCAAATTTAAAAATTGATAAATTGATAGCCACCAGGAAAACTAAAATCAGAAATGATTGAAAAGTGGTTGCCTCTGGGAAAAGAACCTGAGAAAAGTCAGGAGTGCAGTGTTTTCACTTCTCACAAAGTATCTGTTAGTTCCGTTTGTCCTTTTATATAAAAGTGTTTCACTATCAAAACCAATGATAACCATAACTCATTCCAAACCTTCTCTGTCCCCCGGCCCCGCTCCGCTCCAGTCCTACTGACCCTCCCTTTCCTGGTTCCTGGAGTCCCTGAGTCTCTCACACGACCTGGTCTGTTATCCTGCATCTGTCTGGGACCCTGGGCTGGAGCCCAGCTAGGACTTTGAGACTCACTCACACACCCGGCAGCCTCATGCTCTCAACAGGCCATTTCAAAGCACCACCCCCATCCCCAGACACAGTGCACATCCCTTCTCTCTCATGGATTCTCATGTAAAGTCTAGGCAGAGCAGTGACCCCAAGGCTGACACAGGAGGGGTACAAGGATGCAGTTCCCGCTAGCCAACTTCCCGCCCAAACTGAGAAGGAAGGTCATAGTCTGAGGTCGCTGAAAACCAGGGTACACTCTTCATGGAGGCCAGAGGAGGGGTGATCTGTAGGGAGTGAGGTGGAGCCTCCTGGAGCCCTGCTTGGGGACCCCTCTCTGCGTACTACGTTCATGTGAAAGGCACCTGTCACTTCCAGCAGACCTGAGCCAGAGATGAGCACACACCTCATCTGAGGCATCGGAGGTGCTGCTACTTGTCTAGGGCATCTGGAAACGTGAAGTTATCAACAGTTATCCAGGAAAAGATCCATATAGGAGGTTGGGTTCTGCCTATGTGTGGCCCAGGCAGAACCCTGGATTTGCAGAGGGGACAATAGACTCAGACACTCCCTTCTCGTAGGCTCAGTCTATACTTGTATAAAATAAGGATGATAATGCGAAGACTGCTTGGCTGCTGTTGAGAATCAAATTAGAAAATGGACAGGATTGCTTTTTAACTATGAACACCAACAATGTGTGAAATACTAATCAAGTTAATCAAGGTTTAACACTGTTTGCACATGGTGGTGACTAAAAGGTGCAATTCCCCGTGCACAACCGCCAGGGGGCCCGCATCGACTCCAATGTGGAAATCACAGCACCGAGCGTAGCAACTGCCACCCCTTGGTGCAAACCGCCTCCAGTGGGCACTGCGCAGCAAGAAGTCACGGACATGTCATCTGTGATCAGTCAGACTCCGGTGTCAAGCGTGACCTGGCACGGCGACTGAGCCTCTGCAGCTCCGATTTCTCACCTGTGTAATGGCGCTCCCATGCCTCCTCAGAAGTTGCCTGCGAAGGTTAAATGAGACTGAGGGTACTACTCGTCCTGGCCCCTCCAGACGCTCACCTCATGCAGATCCCAGGCACGCACGGTGCCATCTGACGACACAGTGCACACCATGGACTTCTCCTGCCCGTCAAAGCGGCACTCGTTGGTGGAGATGTAGGCCAGCTCGTCTATCTCTCCTGGAAGAACAAAACTTGCCTTGAATGCACTTGGATGCCTGGAACTTGCACACTCCACCTGGTAAAGGGCAGGTGAGACAATGTTCCTCTTCCTCTCTCAGCAGCAGAACAGATACAGATTTGGGCACAGTGGCAGATATAACAGTTAGGGCTTTAGACTTGCAACTTGGGTTTCATGCCCAGGACCGCCCACAACCTACCAGCCACATAACCATGAAACAGATATAATGATGCCTTCCTCACAGGGTTATAATGATGAGTAAATGACAACACAGACATAGAACCCACGTGGTATGTACCTGTCAAGTGGCATTTTCCAGTTTGTTGGCTGAAACACAAAACCCCATGAGACTCAACCAGGGAGACTGAGTGCTAGGAAAGAGCCCAGCTACCACACTCCCCACCCCATACCTTTGTGCCCGGCAATGGCTTTGCAGACGAAGTCCTTCTCTGGCCGCCCAGATTCCATTCGGAACTCCAGCTCAGATCGGCAGAGATAGTACTCTTTCCATGTTTGTGTGCCCAGGGTTATCTGGGAGTCTTTATAGGAGGACCAGCGTCTCAGACACAGCTGCCTGAAAAACAGACACAGTCCCAAACAGGACAGAGCAGTCGTTAGAACATATTGTGGTGTCACTAGGCCTGGCTTTGGTTCCTGGCCTCACCACCTATGTATTAGGTTGGATACCTCACTTTGCCTACATAGGCCTGTTTCCTCGCGGTTAAATGGGGGAAATAACGATGACACCCGAATGCTCACCATGTCAGGTGTAAGTGCTTTTTGTGTATCCAGTCAATCTGCGTAACAACCCTGTGAGATCCTGATCCCCTTTCTACACATGAGGACAGAGAGGCAGAGAGAGACAAACAACTCACACAAGATTATGCAGCCTTGGTCATGTAACTGGAATCCAGGGGGGGTCTGCAATTTTTGAAGTACCCAACTCTTATTGCTAAACTATATTTCTCCCTTCATTTCTGTCTTTCATATATTTTGTTGCTGTTATTAGGTGCATGTGTTTATAATTTTTAGATCTTGATGGATTAACCAGTTTGTTATAAAATATCCTTCTTTGTCTCTAGTAACACTTTTTGTCTTAAAGTCTATTTTGTCTAATATTAGCTCGGCCATTCCAGCTCTCTTTTGGTTACTGTTTACATGGTATATTTGTTTCTGTTCTTTTATTTTCAACCTGAGCCTTTGAATCTAAAGTGTGTCTATTGTAGACAGCATAAAGTTGGGTATTTTTAATCCCCACTGCCAACCTCTGCTTTATTGGAGAGTTTAATCTATATACATTCTATGTAACTACTGATAAGGTAGGATTTACATATGTCACTTTGCTACTTTCTATATTTCTATGCGTTTTTCCTTCTCTTCCTCTATCATTGCATTCTTTTGTATTAAATATTTTCTAGTGTCCTAACTTGAATCCCTTGTCGTTTCTCACACCATTTTTTTCTTGAGTCCTTAATGGTAGCCTTGGGGATTACTATTAAAATCTTAACTCATGACAATCTAGTTTTGATTAATATTTAATTTAAATAGTATTCAAAAACTGCTCGTATATAGCTCCATTTCATGCCCCCTCACTCATGTTGTCATTGTCAGATTACATCTTTAAACATTATGTACCCAACAGAGATTTATATAGTTATTGCTTTATGCAGTTGTCTTTTTAACTCACATAGGAGAAAAGGAGTTACAAAAAATATATTTTATACTGCCTTTCATATATGCCTATGTAGTCACTTTACAGTGCTATTTCTTCATGTGGATTCAAGTTCCTTTCTAGTGTCCTCGATCTTAAAGACACCTTTTAGTATTTCTTGCAAGGCAAGTCTACCAACAACAAATTCTCTGAGCTTTTATCAATCTGGGAATGCCTTAATTTTCTCCCTCATTTTGCTAGATACAGAATTCTGGGTGACAGTCTTTTTCTTCCAATAAGTCATCCCACTACCTTCTGGGCTCCAGGGGTTTTTTTGGTTTTTTTTTAATGAGAAATCAACTGTTAATCTCATTGATGGAGGGTGGGGGGCTTGTACATGATGAATTGTTCTCTCTTGATGCTTTCAAGTTTCTCTGATTTTGAATTTCAAGTTTGATTATGTGTCTCAATGTGAAACTGAGTGTATATTACTTGCAGTTCATTGAGTATTTGGATGTGTAAATTAACACTTTGCATCAAATATGGGAAGTTTTGTGCCTTTACTTCTTTAAGTGCTTTCTCCTCTCATTCTGGGACTCGTATTATGCACTATTGGCATGGTTGATGGTGTCCCACAGGTCTCTTAGGCACTATTCCTTTTTCTTCATCTTTATATTCATTCTGTTTCTCAGACTGGATAATTTCAATTGACCTAACTCCAAATTCACTGATTCACTCAAATCTGCTCTTGAATTTTTTTTTAAAGATTTTTATTGGGGAATTGGGGAGGGGAACAGTGTTGGGAAATTGGGGAAGGGAAACATTGTGTTTTGCCAGGACCCATCAGCTCCAAGTCAAGTTGTTGTCCTTCAATCTTAGTTGTGGTGGGCGCAAGCTCAGCTCCAAGTCCAGTCACCGCTTTCAATCTAGTTGCAGGGGGTGCAGCCCACCATCCCATGCAGGAGTCGAACCAGCAACCCTGTTGCACACTGAGCCATCCGGCCACCCATTGGCAGCTTGCGGCTGCTCAGCTCAAGGTGCCATGTTCAATCTTAGTTGGGAGGGGACAGGACGCAGCCCACCATCCAATGAGGGAGTTGAACCAGCAACTTTGTTGTTAAGAGCACGTGCTCTCACCAGCTCAGCGGCAGCTCCGCTTGGGCACAGCTCACTGGCCCATATGGGAATCGAACCGGCAACCCTGTTGCTCAGAACTCACACTCTAACGAACTGAGCCATTGGCCGGTCCTGCTCTTGAATTTTTAATTTGATATTGTACTTTTCTACTCCACAATTTCTATTTAGTTATTTTTCATAATTTCTCTTGATTGATATTCTCTATTGAATGAGACATTGTCCCTCTACTTTCCTTTAGTTCTTTTCACATGGTTTCCTCTAGTTCTTTGGACAGTTGACTCTTGAACAACATGGGTTTGAACTGCACGGGTCCACTTATAAGTGGATTTTTTTCAATAAATATATACAGTACTGTAAATGTATTTTCCCTTCCTTATGATTTTCTTTTCTCTAGCTTACTTCATTGTAAGAATACAGTATATAATACATGTAATATGCAAAATATGTTAATCGACTGTTTTATGTTATCAGTAAGGCTTCTGGTCAACAGTAGCCTATTAGCAGTTAAGTTTGTTGGGAGTCAGGAGTTATATATGGATTTTCAACTGTGTGTGTGTGTGTAGGGGTGGGGTGGGGTGGGGGGGGTTGTTCAAGAGTCAACTGTACTTAAAACAGCTGATTTAATGTCTTTGTCTAGTTAGGGCCAATGTCTGGGCTTCCTTGGAGACAGTTTCTATTGTTTGTTTTGTTTCCTGCATTATTAGTCATACTTTATTTCTTGGTATGACTTGTAACTTTTGTTGAAAACTGAACATTTTAAATAACATAATGTGGAACTCTGGAAATCTGATCCCCCTACCCCATGTTTGTTGTTTTTCTGTTTATTGTTTAGTGACATTTCTAAACCAATGCTAAAGTCTGTATTCTATTATGTCTGGCCACTTAAGTCTCTGCTGTTAAATTAGTGTTAATAACTGAACACAGATTTCCTAAACATCTAGAACCACTAAGTTTCTCAGTCCATTGCCAAAGGCTCTGTGCATGTTAGGACACACATTCAACACTCAGCCGGGCAGTTGACTACTCTGCCTTAGCTTTCACTTCCTGCATGCACAGATTCTCACGGTCAGTCAGAGGTGAGAGTTTAGAGTCCTCTTAGGTCTTTCCTGAGTTTGCACAAAGCGCTGCATGGGCGCATGGCCTTCTAGATTTCTAGGAATATATCGGAGCTTTCAAAACCCCTAAGGATATCAGATTCCCAGCTTTTTAAGTTTTTTGGTTAGCTTATTATTTCTGTAACTGCCATCTATCAGCTCTGAAAGCCACAAAATTAACCAACTGTAATTATTTTAACAAATGTCCCAAGGTAAAGACTTTTCACACTGGGTGAGTGCCAAGTCAGGCAAAGTGAAGAGAACCAGCACGTGGGTCTTACCAGACAGATCGAATAATGACGATTCTCCGGTAGTGATGCTTCAAGGACTCTAATCTCATTCTTCCCCCTCAGTGGCTATCAGGCTCCTGGTTTCACTGTGATTGTGAGCTGTAGATATTCAAGGCTAACACACAGCTGGAGGGGGGTTATGGGAATGGGGCAAGTAAAAGCCTGCTGTTTTTACTGAGCTTAAGCCATTTTTTGTTTAATACACACTTCCCAGACTACTGCAAGTCTCTGGTTCATTTCCAGAGTTCTATAAAAGTTCATTTTGATAGTTTCTGTTTCCTCATTATTTTTATGGAGAAAAGTTTCAGAGGTCATTAATCCATTTTCCAAGAGTCTGCATTCTTAACTTGTGACTACTGTCAATTCTATGATAGCACCTCTCTCATAAGATTGTTGAGGACAAAATGTCAGCTTGTGCACACTACAAAGAAGACTGAATCCCCACCTACTCTGTAGGCACGAATGTGAGACATGGCTCTTGCCCTGGGGGCACGCTGAGCTAATGGTTAGCAGGAGGATAAGCAAAACTAAAATTGAGGGGAGAAATGCTAAGTTTCAGAAGGGGTAGCTTATGGTGCCACGAGAGCTGAGCATGGAGGATCAGGGAGGCTTTATGGACAGAGGCTTTCAGTGTTTTCAGCCACCAGAGCTGATGTGGCATCGCAGGGCTTGAATCTCACAGGGGAGAACAAGGTCAGGTGGGAAATAACTGGCTAACAGCCCATGGCCCAAACAAACACAAGAGTCTCTACCCACCATAGCCTGCACACTCAATGACCACGTACATGCCAAGCTGAGTGCTAGGCACCAGGGACCTTCTAACACACTGTGAAGGGTACAGTGCCTGTGTTGGATAAAGGTTGTCCTGAGCTTGCTAAATTCTGGTCCCTGTACCAGAAGTAGCATACCGACAGCTTGTGGGCAGAATGGGATCCCAAATTATATGTTTGGCCTACACAGATATGACCCACACAAACTAGCTGCCAACGTTTAAAAATCAGATTTCACATAAAAATCAGGTAAAAGCATAAGGTCTAGCTCTACTGACCCCAAATTCCCACCTGGCAAAATCTGTCTGGAGCCATGGAGTTGCACCCTTTACACAAGAATGAGCTCTGAAGCTCCACCATGGTCTTCACCATCCCTTTTCTCTTTTAGGCTCAGAGACTGTGTCAGCTGCCTCATAGCATCATTCTTATGTTACTGATTTTCTGTTGGTTGAAATAAGAGAAGGGCCGGCCGAGTGGCGCGTTGGTTAAGAGCTAGCTTGGGACGCCAGCTCTGAGCAGCAGGGCCCCAGTTCGGATCCCACATGGGGGCCCGTGACACTGCCCTCTACAGCTAAGATGGTGAACAACAGCTCAACCTGGAGCTGGGCTGCCGTGAGTCGCCGGCTTAGGCTGCAGCCCCTGCTGCAGTGAGCTGCCATGAGCTACCGTGTGTGGCTGGCAGCCAGCGTGAGTGGCCAGCAGCCAGTGTGAGCTGCCAAGAGCCGCCGTGAGCGGCAGTCCAGAGGCCAGCGACCAATCTGCCTTACCCAGGAAGAGCGCAATGATCATAACAACATGGGCCAGTGAAGCAACGTCCTCCACAACTAGACTGAAGAACAAAACAGCAATTTGTCTACCTGTCTGTTCCCCTTCCCCATTCCCCAACGCTGTTCCCCTCCCCCAATTCCCCAATAAAATCTTTAAAACAAAACCAAAAAAAAACAAAAGCAAATATTTGCAATTTACTTCTAACCAAAAAGCTAACACTTAGTGTGCTGAAGAAATGGCGTAATTTAAAAGGTCATGAAGCATTTAAATAAGCCACTTGTAGCATTTTCAATTAAAATTGCAGAGTACAGATTTAAAATATATGACCAGTTAACCATGTTCATTTACTGTGTCCATAAGAATTTCTATGGGCCTGGAGAGGTTTGGGACTGGTACCATGATAGGCACATCAGAAATGATTAGCGCATGTGACGATGCTCCTGGAATGCTGTTGTCCCGGAAACATAAACCCAGCGTTTTTATAAGGAATAAATTTATGTTTAAAAAGTATAGGACCAAACACTATGAAATAGTAATGAACCAAAAACCCACCCTTGACTTGGCTTGGCTTGCAGACCGCTGAACAATCTGCTTGAGGAACCTGGAGGCACAACATATTGGGTTGTTGGAAAAGTTATGACGTATTTTTTGTTTTTCGTTGCAAAAATGCATCATGACTTTTCCGACAATCCAATAGTAATGTATGACATACACGTGGTGGTTAGGTGATAAGCTACTGAGTTTTTGTTTTTGTTTTTTAACTGCTTACAGAAATCTACTTACTCGTGTCACTCAAATGGAAATTCCTACTCCAGTTTATCAGCAAAGATGAGAACAAAGACTAGGGTATAGAGTTGGCATCCTACCCATTTTAGCAGGTGCACGTTGCTCTGCAAGGGCTTCCACAAATAGTTATGCCAATGCAAAACTCAATTCATTTATTACTAGTGACACGACGATGTCTTTGAGAGTCACATTTGGCAAGACATAACCTTGTCCACTTACCTACAGATAAATCAATCTCCGTAACTAAATGTTTTATCTAGAGTATATTCCCCCAAATTTCTGAGTTACAGACTGAAATCCAATAAAAGTTCTCTTACTTCCAAAGTGACTAAAGAGATTGACATTTTTCTAATTAATATTAGCAATAAAAAGTAAAAGAAAAGCAACAAATGCAACAATGCTGTATGATACTGAAAACAAAATATGGCAAGACTGGCATTCCACAATTCTAAAATACCTTAATGTAGTTATCCTAAAAATAAAAACCATCAAGCAAAGATTCCCTCCATGTCTGGAAGAACCTTCATGTGTGAACAGCTGTTTTCCATCATGAGTGACTAAAACTAAGTATAGCTCCTAGCTGACAGTCAAAGCTAGTCTGTCCTATATTCCAAAAGAGGCAGAAGATCTGACACATCTTGGGGCAAAGGAAAAGATGTCAGGTTCCAAAGGAAAAATGAATAGGAAAGAAAAATTCAATGATTTAATGATTAAAGTATTTATTTTCAACTTTAATTTTTTGAGTTTTATTTTTTAAGTTCTGATATCATACATGCTTATATAGCTAGGTTGTTACACCAGAATTGAATTCAAATAAAAGCGGTTTACTTGTTTGTTGATTTGTCTTCCGTCAGCCAGTGGCGTTCATTTGCTGTACATTTCTGCCCCTAAGCTTGGTACCTCTGCCTTATATCAACCTCCCACTCGATAAATAAAATCTCTTTTGTTTCAATATACTATTTAAAAAAAAAAAAAACAGTCTTACACTCCCAACCAGGGAGCAGTTTCTTGCTGGTAGAGGCTGTGGATTGACCCCTCTCGTGTACTCAACAGAGCCAGCAACGTAGTGCATGCTCAAGATACTTATCCAGTGCACCCATCTCTCCTTTGCAGGCCACTCCTCTGACCGCATCTGGCTCTTCCTTTACTCACCTCCATAATTCCTTGGTCCTCGCAACCTCATTCCAAACCTGGAACAAGACGGGAGAGAAAAGTGTCAACACGCAGTCAGCACCTAGCTTGCCAGGCCCTGTGGAGGGGACAGGGAGCTAAATCAGACCCAGCGCCTACATTCAAGAAAGCTTACCCTGGAGAATCAGAGACATATCCACACAAAAATCACCAAATAATGAGTGAGGAAGGAGAGAATGACCAACTTAATGGGGCCCCTTGGCTGATTGCAGATCAAGTCCCAAAGGATGGGTCATTGTACCCTAAAAGAATGGCTGAAGCGTTCCAGGGACAGACAGAACCGCCTCAGCAGTTTCAGAAAGGTGAGAAAGACAGTGAGTGATTTGCCTTAGTTAGAACATAAGGTTCTGGAAAAGGAGCTGGAGACTGGCTTACACCAATTCCCAGAAGTCTGTAATAGGAAAAACAGTGAAAACCTCCTTGAGAATTGTGAATGGAGGAGTGGTGGGTCAAACTGTGTTTTAGGAACATCACTCTGGCTGCTGTGAGAAGGAAGGACTGGAAATGAGGGCAGAGCAACAGGCCCCATAAGAAGGCTGCTGCAATGGAGTAGATTAAGTCCTAGAGATGCCAAGATGGTGGAATGGGACAGCTGCCAAGGGGAGGGCACTATGCCAGCCCTGCTCTACAAACTGCCTTCTAAAGTATTTGGAAGAGATGCAGGTGGTCCCTGGAAGGCCCCTACCTGCAACCTAGAACATCTGGTCTCTCCACCTGGGCGACTCTGGATTCTGGAGCCTACACAGATTTAATGGGAACCACCCTGGAGCTTTCTGCGGCCCAGCCCCTCTGAGGGTCCCATCCCAGAAATGTGGGTTTCCAGGCCCTGGCAGACGAAAGGACCATCCTCTCGAAGCCCAGGCTCCCACTTCCACAGCCCTCGTTCAACTTCTAGATCAAAGTTTCTCATCCCGTAAGAAGTCTTTTTGGCTGATATGAACGTAAGGTTTCTGAATGACATTTTGCAAAGTCAAACCAGGCAAGGAAATTTATTTCCTTTTACTATGGTTCCCAGTTCAAAACCCAACTGAAATCTTGATTTACCACATATAGAATTATAGTATGTAATATAACCTGCAAAATAGATGCTATCCACCTTTAAGGATCCCTCTGTTAGATCCTGGCCTTAATCATACATGGTATGATTAACTGACTTCATTTTACCCTAACAGGGAAACTAAGACCTGGAGAAGTTGGTGCTATCAAAGGCTATCAGGCACCTCCCTTTCAAATTCTCTATGCTACCCCTAACCTGCTGCTGTGAAAATCAAGGCTCCAATTCCAGCCCTGTTCTGGACTACCTGGGTGACCTTGGACAATGCATTCACTGATACCTTGCTTACTGTTAAAAATGTGGATGAAAACCCAGTATTTTACTTGACACATTTAAAAATTATAATTACAGAATTCAGGTAAGGATCTGTTTATTAATCTTTTCATAAAATGATGTAACGAAGTATTTTGAAAGTAAAGAAATTCATTTAATCAACAAATATTTACTGAAATTACACTAAATGACAAGCCATACACAGGGTGCTAAAGACATAGTGATGTAAAAGACTACATCCCTGTTCTTACGACTGAGTCTAGGAAAAGCAGACATTTAAAAAATGCACCCTACAAACAACCGTTTAGTTACAGTAGCGCTGAGTTATAGGAAAAACGAGCTCAGTGTAACAAGGGATGATGCGCAGATGAGACTTACTGACTCAATGGGCACTTAGCACAGCAGGACGAAGATGCCATCCATTGGGAAGGGATAGCCCTGAGTCCGGGGGAGGAGGTCGCCACTCAAGGGGGAGACTCGGGGGCGCGACTTTCCTGGGAAGAGCCCGCGAAATTCCAGAATATTCCAGAAGTGGGAGGAGAAAGAAAACCGATCTCAGGGGTGAACCCTGATGGCAGGACGCGTTCATCTTGATCCCAGGGCCTGGGGCAGGCCAAGCGCGCGGGTGCTCCGGACTCAGGGTGTCAGGGGGCTTTCAGAGCGACCCCTCCAGAGGCCACCGAGGTCATCATCCCGAGGGCCACGAGCGCCCTCTGCTGATCACCGATTCAGGGCCGCCGAACACACCCTCCCAGACGGTGAAACAGACCCAGAGCAGAAGGGCCGGCTTTGGACACCCAGTGATAATTAACCTAGCCTTGCCTCTCTCCCGGGCGCGCTACCTTGTCCACTTGGGCGGCGCTGAGCAGGTCTTGGGCCTCGAGGAAGGAGAAGACGTGCAACAGCTCGTGCAGACCCAGCTGTGGCTCCATCACGTCCACCGCCCCAGCCCCGCCACACCTTCGCCGCGGTTCCGCCCCGCAGACCAAAACCCAGCCCGCTGCGCTTCCGCCCCGCGAGCCAATCCCTGCCCAACCCTCCGTACTTCCGCCCCGCAGACCAATCCCCACCCAGCCGCCGCGCTTCCGCCCCGCAGGCAAAGCCCGCCCAGCCTGCCGCAATCCCCGCCCAGCCCGCCGCGCATCTGCCCCCTCTGATAGCTCACCAACCCTGCTTCTCCGTGGACTTTGGTTTGCTTCTGACTTTACCCTTGGACCTCGCTTTTGCCCTGACCCTTGTCCTGACAAAGCCCATCCCCTCATGTTGACATTCACTGTAGCCCTGATCTTCACCCTTGCAGGGGCACCTCCCGTGCTCTTGTGGTGGCGCTGGCCTTGCCCCTTGACCTCATCCTTGCCAAATATATGTGCCTTCGACTTGGACCCCTCACCAAGTTCCTGCCTGGCCTTCATCCTGACCTTGGTCCTGCTACTTGCCCTTATCCTAACCCTCTACTCAGCCTCGCCGTGATGCTAGATCACCCTAGTCCTTACTAGCATGTCATCCACCCCTACCTTCTTCCCACACTCACTTAACCCTGACCTTGACACTCAGCCTCATCCTGAACTTCGCTGTGGCCCTGACCCTCAGCCTTCCTCTTACCGTGGGCCTAGCCCTAACTAAACCTGGTGTCTCCCTCACCATGAACCTTAACCTGGTTCTCACCCTAGCCTTGGGCCCTGACCCTGGGCCTCACTCTGTACTGGTTCTGGCCAAGTTCAGATAAGTTAGTATAAGGGTGAGGATCATGATCAAGTTCAAGGTCAGAGTCACAGTCAGGATGAGGGTAAGGTCAGGAACACAGTGATAAGGGTCAGAGTTAGAAAGAGAGTGAGTGTCCAGATAAGGGTAAAATTCTGTATCAAATTAAGTAAGGGCCAGGATGAGAGAGAGGTCAGTATCATGGTCAGTGCCAGAATTAGGTTGAAGGTTAAAATCAGTGTAAGGGAAATTTTAGGCCAACGTTATGTACCAGATCAAGTTTAAGATCAGTGTGAGAGTCAAGATCAAAGTCAGATTGAGGATCCATTAGAGCAGGGGTCTGCAAACTGCGGCTCGTGAGACACAGGCAGCTCTTTGGGTACTATCCATCTCAAAAGTTTGCCAACCCCTGGAAGAGCCAATCCTGTCCCTCACAACTTAAAAATTATTCGAGAGCCATAAATATATTTTTACATAATCACCATTATGTGAATATCCTTTACAAATTTTATAAATGAAACTATGATAGTTTTATTTTCATTTTCAATTTTACTTCAGAGCCATATGGACGTACCCAAAGAGCCGCATGTGGCTCACGAGCCGCAGTTTGCTGACCCGTCAGCTCTTCCGTCTCAAACATTTGCTGACCCCCGCACTAGAGAATCAGAGAGAGTATAAAGGTCAGGGTGGTTATTGTCAGGTGAAGTAAGATTGAGAGTTGGACTCAGGTTGACAGTGACTGTCCAATTTTGTGTAGAAGATTCAGGGTCTAGGTCAGGGTGAGGTTGATGTTCAGGATTAGGGCCAGTTTCAGGTTCAGGGTCCAGATCAATGTGAGGATAGGGTCAGTGTAATGTTCAAGTCAATTTTCAGGTCTAAGTGAGCATGATGTTCATAGTCAAGGTCAATTGAAAGTCAAGGTGAAGTTCATTTTCTATTGCTGCTGGAAAGAGTTCAGACCTCCCGCCACTTCTCTCTCTTGAACGCACATCCACCTGGATACTCTTTCCATCTCGAGGTTTGTAGCCTTAATCACATCTGCAAAGTCTTTTTTGCTATTAAGGCAACATATTCGTAGGTCAGAATACGGACATCTTTAGGGGTGAGTATTATTCCACCTACGACACAGGGTCAGAGTTAGGTTTATAGTCAAGTTCAAGGTCAAGGATGGGTCAAGGTGTGGGCAATGACCAAGCTGAGTATAAGAATCACCATAATGTTGAAGGTCAATGGCATTGTGAACTTTGAATTCAGGGTTAGGGTCCAGGTCATGTTCAAGGTCATGATAGGATTAGGGTGAATTAATGACAACAGCCAAGTGTGAGTTCAGGTTCTGCTCAAAGGTCAGTGTTAGAATGAGGATAAAGATCAGGGTGAAATTGAGGTCTGGGTCAAGGTCAGTGTCAGGATCAGGGTCATGGTCAGGTTTGGAGTGCAGACTAGTTTCAGCTTGAGTGTATGGTGTACTTCAAGGCAAGGCTCAAGTCAAATTCAGGGTCAGGGTGGGTCAGTATGATGTTCCTTTTTAAGGTGAGGATTCAGTCTAGCGGCAGAGTGAAGTTGAGAGTGAGAATCAGATTGAGGGTAGAGTCTGATTTGTGCTAGTGTTCTGGGTCATGACCAGTGTGGCAAACTCTCATTGTCAAGGGTAAGTCAAGTTCAAGATGAGTGTGACAGCCATGTTAATGGTCAGCATCAGGATCAGGGTCATGATGAGCATAATAGTATGAATGTTATAGGGTTGGTGTTAAGGTGAAGGTGATGATGGCCAAGTTCATGGACAAGGTTAAGGTCTAGGTTGGGTCCTAGTTATGGCAAGGGTCAGGGTCAATGCTAAAATCAAGGTCATATATGGGTGGGTAAGGGTCTTGCAAAGAATTGGATGAGGGTGAGTGTACATGTCAGGGTCAGGGTGATGAGTAAGGGTCAGGTTTCGTTTAAGGCTTAAGGTGAGGGTGAAGGTCAGGATGGGGTAAGGTTTAGGGTCTTATGTGAGTGGGTTGGTTGAGGGTCAGTAGTCAAGGGTGTGGGTACAGGCTCCCATGTATATGAAGGTGACAGCTACCACAAACTGAGCTAGACTGGAGCTTACAGATGTGGCTTGAGAAACAGGCAAAAGCCAGATCCCGAAAACATCTTTAAAGACCTAACAGTCACTTTTCCCTGAAAGCAACAATTGGAATTTACGGTTTTCTATTCCCTCTAAAAGCAGTGACTGTGGCAATGTTAATCACTTCTGTCCTCAGTGCTTACAGAAGTTTATCCACATAGAGCATGAAATGAGTATTTTAAGAATAAATATTACTATGAATAAATTTCTCTAGTCTCTTTTTATCTATCCCTAAACCGACACCACTGTCTCAATTATTACAGCCTTATGATAAGTCTTGGTATCTGACAGGGTTAAGTCCTTTCATCATTTTTCTCTTCTCTTCTGTTTCTGCCACCTCCTCGTCTCAACCCTTTCATTTCCACATACATTTTACATTCACCTTATCAAATTATTAAATAAGAAAAACAAGAGCTGGATGGAATTTTATTGGGATTTACAAATGAGTTCTAGGAATGCCTGTCTCCTTATTTGCTCGGTATCTCTGTGTAAGGAGGTGGCACATCTGGTACTGGCAACCTGAGCCATTTCTGGGCCTTGACTTTTGCCACTTCACCTCCAAATGGGAGTTCCATCATATGAAGCCCTTAGGAAGCCCTCAGGACTAGGGTCGCCATGAATGCGGCCACTTTCCCAGTGACCACAAAAAGGTGAGGGCCAGATGATGCCACTTCCCTTGATAGGAACAGAAGAGAGGCAGACACCAGGCAGAACTACTTGGGATTTTTATAATAAATCTCAAAACTGAACTATTGTTTAATGTCTCTGAGAACAAAAGCAAACCAAATCTCCCTTCCCAGTTGGGTTTCCGACATGAGGACATCTTACTCTGCGCTCCACAGATGGCTCTACCAGGACCGTCCCTGACCAGAAAGACTGAGCCTGGAGAAGCAGCACTACAGTGGGCACAGCAGCGGGCTCACTGTCTCTTTCTGATGGGTAAGTCAGCAGCACACAGATGGGAGGCTGAGGGCACAGCCATGGTCTCCTTCTCTGCTGGGGAAGGACATTCTCATTGCCTGAGTGTGACAGGACCAGGTATTGAGTGAGCCCAGTGTAGCAATACGGTGGCCATGGGGAGGCCGTGGGAGGTTCCTGAAGCAGAGGAGCAAGAGGCCTGAGTGGCCCTGGGGGACAGGCTGGTGGGGCCCTGCCCATCGGCTCAGCCCTCTGGGATGAAGGGCCGAATCAGTTCCGGGTTCAACAGTGACTCCTCGAGAGGCTGGTCCACGTGGAAGTCATGGATGTGTGGAGGTCCTGGGTGGGCTTTGGGAGCCGGTCCCCCTGGGCGCTGGGGAATCGGCAGTTCTGAAGGGTGGGCAGGCAAGGGAGCTGTGAAGAAGTACTGGTGCAGGAGGGCCTGTGGGTGGCAAGGGACAGGAGAAGGAAACCATTCACCTCCCCATCCCAGCCTCGGCTTGCCTCCCTGATAGGGGGACTGAGTGCTGCTCTGCAGAGGCTCATTCCTTCATTCGCTTATCCGCTCAGCTGACTCAAATCTCCGAGTGCTTACTGTCTGAGTACTGCTCCAGGGGCTGCGGATGCAACAGTGAACAGAACCTTCCACAGAGCCAGGGTGGGGGACAGTAAACAAGGTAAAGAAGTAAGATAGTCAGTGTGTCAGATGACTAGTAGTGGAGAGGTGGCCGGCCTGAAGAGTGGTGAGAGGAGGCCCCATGGGAGGTGGCACTTGAGCAGGGATAAGAGAGGTGAAGTGGGTGAGGTCCAGGGACAGAAGTACACAGGCCCCAGGACACGGAGGGGACCCTGGGTCCCAAGACAGGTGAGCAAGGGGGACAGGAGACAGCACTGAGTGTGACACCTGTGGGCCACTAGGACCTGGGCCTGTCCTCTGAGGAGCCACAGGAGGGCCCTGCAGAGGAGGGTGTGCTGGCTTGCCTGGACGAGATCACACTCTCTGCCAGGTGGAGGAGACACTGGATGGGCAGGAGGAGCAGACTGGGAGGCAGTAGGGGTGTGGCGGTGGCTTAGACTGGGGGCAGCAGCAGGGGGCTGAGAAGTGGTCAGCTGGCCTCAGTTTGCTCTGAAAGCTCCCCGACATGGGTGCTCACCAGGTGTGTGCACAAAAACACACTGCTAGTGCCCAGGGTCAGGAGGGAAGGGTGGTATACCTGGCAGAGGCCATCGGCCCGTGGTCCTCCCCTCCTTCCCTGCCACACCCCACCCTCATGGACCCTTTTCTTCCGGCCTCTGCTCATCATCTCTCTTGGGGAAACGCTCCCATGCCTAAACCTGCCTTCCTCCAGGAAGCCGCCGACTCCCACAGCCTGGCTGCCCTGCTCAGCACAGGGTGGAGACCTCATGGGGACAAGGCTGTGTCCACTTGTTCACTGGGTCAGGGCCCAGGACAGTGCCCAGCACGGCCAATGCCGAGTAAATATTTGCTGAATGAATGAAAGGATTAAGGAGCAAGTCACCAGTAACTGGAGGTGTGCTCCTCTGTGAGGTGGGCACATACTTCTAACGGGTTACCTCTTCCCACCTGTGCCCCCTGGGGTCTGCTCAGGAGGGGCATACTGGCTCCTCATCCTCCATCACAAGTTCTAAGGGACCCCAACCTCCTGGGTCACATGGGCACGAGTGAGGAGATCAGGGCATTGGGGGTCACCATACCTGGGAGGCTGAAATACGCTGGCATGGAGGGTAGAGGAGGAACCGCCCCAGCAGGTCCAAGGCCTGGGGAGAGGCGTCGGGCAGCACCTCCCCCAGGGGCACAGGCGCCTGCTCCTTGAAGGAGATCTTGTTGTAGTCGGGCAGCTCTGTGATCTCCTGAGGACAAGGGGGCGCCTCAGGGCCAGCACTGCCTGCCACCTCCCTCTGTTGTCAGTCCTCGCTCTGTCGCCCGCCTGCTCATGCTTACTGGCTGCTCCCCCATCCATGTGCCCTGCTATCATCCCATCACTCATGTCTTTACACTCAGTCAGTCCTTCAGTCCTTCGTGTCCCTGTCCTCTCAGGCACCTGCTTCATCCCCAGCTTGGCGATAACTGCATTGTGCTAGGGGTAGGCAGGAAGGGACAGGGGACAGGACGTAGCCCTCCTGCCTCTAGCATGGTAGCGGGAGAGGAGTCCCCGAGCTGGACCAGGATGGTGGTCTGGGATTTCAGGGAGGCATGGGGTCATGAGAGAAGGTGCAGGAGAGGAGAGCCACCAGCTGTTGGGGGAAATGGAGGACACCTGCCCCTACCCTCCCCACCACGGGCCCCTGCAAACCGGCCAGACTTGAGGGCTGGGGGTGCCCAAGATGCGAAGCACACAGCAAAGCTGTTCGATGTCATTCTCCCCGGGAAAAAGTGGGGACCCATTCAACAGCTCCCCCAGGATGCAGCCCACGGCCCTGCAGATACAAAACCCAAACAGCTGTACATGGACAGAGATCTCCCCACACCAGCTCCATCACCTCACACTATGGACACGGAACTCCTCACACCATGGACAGAGATCTCCCCACACCTGCTCTATCACCTCACACTATGGACACAGAACTCCTCACACCATGGACAGAGATTTTCCCACACCAGCTCCATCACCTCACACCATGGACACGGATCACCCCACATCAGCTCCATCACTCCCCACCATGAACACAGATCTCACATCATCACCCACCTCACACTGGGGTCAAGGCACCCACAAAGAAGCCTAAAGGCTGCATAGCCAAGAATACACCCCCAAATAATCAGACTTCAAGCCTAGAACACAGAGCACATTCCTCTTTCCAAGAATCTCTCAGGCCTCACACTCTGGGACACACAGCCACCTCCTCACATTCTGGGGCAGACCTCCAGAACAGCCCCCAAATCTCAAAGTCTTAGGCATGTACAAACCATCCTATCCCAAATCAAGGCTCAGAGCCTCATATCCAGGAATCCAGGACTCTGGATAGCTCTGGGACATCGCATCCTGGATTATAATCCCCTGCATAGCAACGTAGACACCTCACGCTTCAGTCTACCACCCCCACTCTAGCCCAGAAGCTTCCCACTGGGACAACCACTCTGATCTCAACAAACCCCCACCCAGCTCAAAAATGTCAGACAGGAACACTGATCCCAAACTCCTCAGAGATACTCTAACTGGGGAAGACACCCCAAGGCAACATACAGCTCACAGGAGGAAAACACCCCCAAAAAAGCTTTTAGACCTCAATACCCAAGAGGAAGAGGTGACTCCATGACCCACATTCCCCCTTGCCCAGCCCACAGGAGTCTTACCACAGGTCGACACCCTGGTCATACTGGCGGGCACCGTACAGGAGCTCGGGGGCTCGGTACCACCTGTGAGAGAGGTCAGGCGGTCACAGCCAGCTCACTAGTCTGACAGGAGGCTTCCCCAGAAAGTCACCCCAGCCCCCATGCCAGCCTCATGAGCAATGTCTGGACAGAAGGTCCAGAATCATCTCTTCCCCAGTGGGAGGGTTGGGGCCTTTTCACTGCCAGGCTTTGCCTGGGAGCTGGCCCTCCTTACCTGGTGGCCACCTGGTGCGTGTAGAGGCGGCTGCCATCTGGGGAAAAGACCCGGGCCAGGCCAAAGTCTGCTATCTTGAGCTGGCCCGAGGCACTGATGAGCAAGTTGGCTGGTTTCAGATCCTAAGGCACCAAAGGAGGTGTTAGTTCCTCCAGAGCCCCCAAAGGACCTTGGAACAGCATCACTTAGAAGGCTGAGCAGCTGGCTCAGCTCAGGTCCCAAGCCCTGCAGTACCTCACCCCGACACTTACTCACAGGCCCTGCTCCCTTAGCCCCCCACCCCCACCAAATGACCATGTGTTTTTCAAGGGCTGGCCCACCCCTAGCCCAGCTGTTCCCCAGGCCCTGCCCCAGCCCATGCTGGGACTGACCCGATGCACGATGTTGTTGGCATGGCAGAAGGCAACACCTTTAAGCAGCATCTGCAGGTAGCTCTTGACTTGCGCCTGAGCCAGTGGCCTCTGGGCATGGCGCACCACCTCGGCCAGATCTGACAGCATGAACTCAAAGGCCAGCACAAAGCCTGCCCCATGTGGGAACACGGCCTTCAGCTGCACCACCTGCAAGTAGGGCATCCTGTCAGCTCCCGACTCACATGACTCAGACTCTCTCTGGGACTCCCAACCCTTGCCCAGGCAGAGGACAGTCAAGCAGAGGAGGTGACATGAGATCTGAGCTCAGGACCAAGGAGCTGGGTGCCCTCTTGTTGCTCCCCACTCTCAAAAGAAGGCAGGTCCCCACACCAACATTCCACACACACTCAGGGAAAAGGAGGTCTAAGGAAGCCACTTAGGGCAGTGTCTGGTCCACCACCCAGCCCACAAACTGGAAAATCACCTGGACACACACACACACACACACACACACACACACACACACACACACACACACAGGAGCCCAAGTCTCCTCTTGTTTTCTCCACAGCACCAAGAGAAGGCACTGGCGATCACAACTCCCCAGCACTGGGACAGCTGGAGACACACTGCATGTACTTCCTGAGGGACCACAGAGTCAGAAGGGTCAGGCTGCACAGCAGTGAGCACGTGCCAGGGCTGGTGGGTCCTGAAGGACCTTAAGGAGCTCGAGCACAGGGGAAAGACGACTGACAAATGAGTGAACAAACCTACGGGGTATGTCCAAGTTCTAATGAGGACAGAAGAGAACGATGGGGCGGTGTCAGTTACGCAGGGAGCTAGGAAGGGCTCTGGGCAGGGGGACAGCAAGCACAAGACCCCAAAGCAAGAACAGGAAGGACGCCAGAGAGCCATGTAGGGTCATTTAGGGGAAGGCTGTCTGCTCTGTTTTGTGCTCCCAGAGCCTAGACAGGGCTTGTTACAGAAGAAATGCTTAAGAAGTTGTGTTAAATGAACAAAAAGGGAGGCTGGAAGAGGGCAGGAGCAGATGGGGACAATGCTCTCGGTGTGAACAGAGGCCACTAGGGCTTTTCAAGCTGGGGAATGAATAACTGTATCTATGTTTTATGACTGTGCAGCCAGGGCAGCAGTGGGGAGGCTGCCATAGTTGTTCTGGTGAGAGGAGATGGTGGCATGGGCCAGGGTGAAATCTGAAGTTCTTTTTGAAGATAGAAGCTTCAGGCCTGCTGATCCACAGGCTGTGGGACCTAATCACTAGCCTCCTATAGGTCCTCCACAACACATGGGCTGTCAATAAGCCCTTTTACTTTCCTCAAAAAACGATAACGGCCTTGTTGCTTTTTTTCTGATTTTGAGGGCAGTATACAATCATTTCACCAATCAAAACAGACACAGACATTCAGATAACACACAAAATTATTAAAAATAAAAATCATATCACCTATAATGAACCTTAGAGTATATTCCACCAGACTTTACAACACACACACATATATATCACATATATACTCATATCATATTTTCATACAAAACCAGGATGACCCAAACAGTTCTATAACATGCCTTTGTCACCCAATATATCACGGACATCTCCAGAGATAAAAGAACAAATCACCCACCCAAGGTCGACCCACCCTTGTCACTCCCCAGGAAGTTGGGCACATTCTCTACTCCTGATATGGACAAACGAGTGAACAAACCTACAGGGTACATCCAGGTTCTAATGAAGGCAGAAGGGAACAGATGGGTGGTGTCAGTTATGCAGGGAGCTGGAAGGAGCGAGCACAAGACCTTGAGCACAAGAGAATGAACCATAAGAGAATGGGGCTGGGGTGTAAGGCGCCCCTCCTCATGTGCCCACAGCCCCTCTCAGCCCTGTCACAGCACAAACCACACCAGCTGGGCCCTGCAGCTTCTGTCCATCTCCCCTACCACACTTAAGTTCTCGACAGCCGGGTGAAGGCCGCTTCCTCTCTGTGTTGCCAGTGCCCAGCACAGGGTAAGGCTTACAGAGTCCCCAAGGTTAAAACGTCCTGATCCCTCCATCAGACCCGGGGAAAAGCCTCCACAAGTAAGCTGGGAACCTATGAGCTGGTGGCTGAGCCTGCTCCCCTGGCCTGAGAGAGGGAGATCCTGAAACCTGCCTCGCAGAGCAGTGGAACAAACTCAGAGACAATATACAGATAGTACTTAACCCTGCCTGCAGACCCTAACAGCAGCTCAATAGGTAGCAGTTATCATTACCATTAGAAATCACTAAACATTTTGAGAAATAAGGCATAAGTTACTGAATGAATGAATGAATGAATCAATCAATCAATGAGGACACAAAGAAGTGGGTGAACAAGAGAGTGAAGGAATGAAGTAATTGGGTGAATATGAGTGAATAAGTGGATTAAAAAGGAAGTGAGGGGTGAGGAAGCAGATGAGGGAGCAGAGTGAGTGTGGGGCCCCCAGAGTCCGAGTGAGTGGAGGAGGGCAGGACAAGGCATGTCAGGACCCCCAGTGCCACTCACATACTGATTGTCCTCCATCTCCTGCAGGGCCTTGATCTCCCGCAGGGCCTGGTTGGGAATGCCATCCTCCAGCCTCCGCAGAGCCACCTTCTTGAGGGCAACAATGTCTCCAGTCTGTGCGAGACAGTATGCAGGCATTGCCACCCCATCCCCGGCTGGGAAAGGGGCGACAGGAAGAAAAATGTGCCATCTGGGTTGGACGGAGAGGCCTGAGGCCACCATGGGGGTGGAAAGCATCCCTCAACCCCGTTCTGGAGAGAAATCACCACCAGCCTGGGACCCAGCAGTCGCAGGGCCGGTCAAATAGCTCAGGAGCATCCACTCCACGCCCCTAGGGGGCACTCGTGGAATGCCTACTGTAGCATTGCTGGTGGCGGGCAGCTGGCCACAACCTGGACGACACCCCTCTTAAAGGGGTTAAAGTGATGAGCACACGCCACGAAGAGGAGGGAGGAGGGAAGGCTGGCGCAATGACGCAAGCCTGGGTCTGGGAAATGGGTACATCTCACAGGCAGACATGAATGGAACCCAAAGAGGAAGACCCGGTCGGCCCACGCGGGTCCGGCTCACCTCCACGTGCTTCGCCTTGAAGACGATGCCGTGCGCGCCCTCCCCAATGCGACCCAAAATGCAGTACTGGTCCATCGCCCGCCCCTCCTCCCGCGCCCAGACGCGGCCGCCTAGCAACCGAGCGGCCTCCTAGAGCCCGGGCCGGGCGGCCTAGTGCAACTGGGGACAGCGTGCGGGCCTCGTCTGTGCCTTCCCCTAGGCCCCAGCACGTCACAAGGTGCTTCATTTGGCGGAAGTCATCCGTGAGCAGACAGCACCAACGCCTGGGCCAGGAGCAACGTATGCGGCTTCTCCGCACCGCCCCGGCGTCACGTAACGAGCTACGCTAGGGCACGCAGCGGGGGCGGGACCAGGGGAGCCGGGGGTGCGGCCAGGGTGATGGGCGGAGCTGGCTCCTCCCCCGGCAGGCCAGTCTCCCCAACCGTAACTAGCAGTGCCAGCTTCAACAACACGCAGGTGCCGTTTTCCACCTATAAGACCAGAAGCCAATGATGATGAAGGGAGACAGACGGCCGGGCTGAGTTGTGGAGGGAGCGTTAATGGGGTCTCCCCTCTGGAAAGTCAGTTGGCAACATGTAGAGATCACTTTTTAAAAGTTCAAACTCTGACCCAGGAAGTCCATGTCTAAGGGTTTCTCATGAGGACACATTTGGAGAAATTTGAAGCTTGAGTAATTTTAAGAAATGCATACCAACCATCAAAGGATGTTGACAAAAACACAAGTAACTCTTAAACTTCTGAAAAGATTCTCAATTTCACACACAAGGTAAATGCAAAATGAAATACAAATTTTCACCTATGGGATGGCTAGATTGCAGATCTAACAGACCATTGGCTAGGCTATGGGAAAAGCGGAACTTTCATACATTGCTGGTGGGAGTGCTGATGAAATTACAAATACATATCCCCTTAGACTCAGAAAGCCCATTTCTAGAAACTCCCTCAACAGATATATTGCACACATGTGAAATAATATGTGCAAAATTATTTTGTTTGAATAGCAAAATATAGGAAATACTACACATGTCCAATAGGAGACTAAATTGAGATACACTTATCAAATGAAATATTAAGCCGCCTTAAAAATGAACGAGGACACTTTTTATGTACAGTTATAGGAAGATTTCAAAGGTTATTAAGTTAAAAAGGCAAGATGCAGAAAAACGAATAAAAGTGCCACTAGCTGGGTAAAAAGAAAAGGAGTAAAGAATATAAATAATGCTTGTTTGTGCATTACAAGGTATCTGGAAAGATACCCAAGATTTCATGATTGTGGTTACCTGGTGGAAGAGGGACTAGAAGAGTTGGGGTCAGGGTTGGAGGTGAACTTTTCACTGGGCCTCTTTGTATTCTTTGTGTTTTGAACCATATAATTTATTAATTCTTCAAAAAAGTAAATATTTTCTAGCTCAGAAATTCCACTCTGGGGCCGGCCGAGTGGCTCAGTTGGTTAAGAGCTCGCGCAAGAGTGCGAGCTCTGAGCAACAGCGGTTTGATGCCCAGCCCAAGCTGAGTTGCCACTGAGCTGCCAACAGGTAGCAGGATGGGTCAGCTAAATAAATAAATATATAAATATATAAATATATAAATATATAAATATATAAAATTCCACTCTGTTTTAACAATTGCAGAAGAAGGCCTCGAGTCCATACAGTGATGGTCACCCTGTTTGATGTTAGCAGAGGCCAGATAATAACCCAAATATATTTGGGCAGCTCTGGAAATCAGAGGGATTGTCTTCCCTCTCCAGGATTTGTTGTTGTTGCTCTTTGTTGTTGGTTTAGTATATTTTCTGACCTAATTGTGTAATGTCTGTTTTCTTTATCATATGTGGCCTCAGACATCTCTGCACAGTTAGCTTTGTCAGCTGATCATTGGAGAGAGGTTTTCAATATGTTTCCAAGTCTTTGTCAATGGTGTGTGTGTGTGTGTGTTGAGGCTGACCTTGAACACTCTCAGCCAAGCAGTTGACAACTCTGTTTTAGCTTTCACCTCCTGCTGTTTCAGAACCTCAAGGTCAGACTTTGCAGGTCTTTCCTGGGCACATGCACAGCCCTGGGCATGCACATATCTGTACATATGCATTTGACCTTCTAGAGTCCCAGCAATATGAAAGAGCTTTACAAAGCCCCTACAGGCATCTCATTCTTCAGATTTTCCTTTGAAACTTTTTGGTTAGCCTATTATTTCCCCACTGTCATCTTTTCCATCACATAGCCACAAAGTTAATCAATTCCTTCTACTATTTTTTAACAAACACCCCAGGGTAAAGGCTTTGCACTGGGTGAGGTGTGGGTCAAGTCCAATAAAGATAGCCTTATGAGTGGAGTATTCCAGGGAACTACCAGACAGCCCAAATAATGACCATGCTCTGGCAATGAGATGTGGCAGGATCTCCAATACAGTCACGGAGCATTATGGTACCCCCATTAGCTGCCATACTCCTGGTTTTCACCAAGATTGAGAACTGTGTGCTTTCAAAGTCACTATGGGGTTAAAGAGTAGGAAATGACGCCATTACAAACCTTGCTGTTCTTACTGAGATCCCATTGTTATCCTTGAATAAAGACTCCCAGTATTGCTGCACATTTTTGTTTAATCTAGAGTTTTGAAAATGTTGATTCTGATCATTTTTGCCAGTTTTCTTATTGCTTTTATGTTGGAGGGAATTTGGAGGTTTAGTCTGCCAAGTTTACTGACATTTTCTCTCTTCAATCTATTTTTAACTTTTATTTTTATTTCATTGCACATAACTACTCCTGGTCAATCTAGGTGCAGTGTGAATGCCCCAGAACAGAGGATTACATAGAACCAAAATGTCCTGCATCAGGGAACTCACTGGAATGGCTAACGTCCAACAAGATGTCAGTTTTAGTTTCGTTTGTAGTTTGTTTCTTTTTTTCCTTTTTCCATTCTTATTACTATTCAAATCAAGTTTGGTAGAAACAAACTTGTACATACAGATGTACGTACAGATGAGCAAAAGGACATGACATTTCTATAATCATGTCCACCTGGGGACAGCCCCTGCTGCAACCCAGGCTTATATCCTGCCAGATTCTCACTCTCACTCTCTCTCCTATAGTATACATTTATATTCTTATTCTCTCAAAATATATTTACATATTTATTCAATAAATTTGGGCTCATTCTCTGATGATGTTTGTTGGTTATCATAAATTCTAATTTTGATATAAAATATTTGAAAAATTAATAAGTTCATCAATTGAAATATAAATATTATCAACAGTGAAGATATACAGATATACAGTGAAGAGGCTGGCTCTTTTCTGCAGCCAACATGACCAGTATCCAGTGATCCAGTGGCTCTTTCTTTTTTTTTTTTTTTTTAAAGATTTTTATTGGGGAATTGGGGGGATGGGAACAGTGCTGGGGAATTGGGGAAAGGGGAACAGACAAGTTGCTGTCGTTTTGTTCTTCAATCTAGTTGTGGAGGACGTTGCTTCACTGGCCCAAGTTGGCACCATCATTGCGCTCTTCTCTGGCGAGGCAGATCAGTCTCCGGCTTCTGGACGTCCGCTCACTGCGGCTGCTGGCCGCTCACGCTGGCTGCTGGCCGCTCACGCTGGCTGCTGGCCACACACGCTGGCTGCTGGCCACACACGGTAGCCCATGGCAATCCACTGCCACAGGGACTGCAGCCCACGCCGTCGCCGGCGACTCATGGCAGCCCAGCTCCAGGTTGAGCTGTTGTTCAGCATCTTAGCTGTGGAGGGCAGTGTCACTGGCCCTCATATGTGGGATCCGAACCGGGGCCCTCTGGCATCCCAAGCGAGTTCTTAACCATCGCGCCACTCGGCCGGCCCCAGTGGCTCTTTCTTGACAAAGGTGGTCTATGTGAATGTGAAGGAATGTGAGTGAATAGCCAACCTCATGCCCTGATGTGAATTTGAATCCCCAGGCTGAGGTAATGGCAGAGGAGTCAACATAGAAATACTTCAGCATCAGGTCTCTGCCTTCCCTCACTCAGCCTCCAGCTTCCCTCAGTCAAAAACGTCTTTACTTATCTGTTCCTCTTTGGCTCCACTGACAGTTTCATTTCCAGTGATGTGATCAGTTCAGGAGCCTAAGATCCATCCTATACCTTCTTGCCCTTCAGCAGTAATGTCAATGGATTGTTCATTTCTGGACTTAATTTTCACTTGCTTTATATCACTTTCCTCCCACTCCTCCTTTTATTTATTATATGAATGTGGGCAAGCGATTCCCTTTAGCCTTAGCACCTAGATCAATAGGACTATCCATGTTACAGAGCTGCTGTGGCAATTCAGTGGAACAGTGTGTGGAACACTGACCAGCACTCACTCAACAGGGAGCTCTCTCTCAGAAACTGGTAGGTCTCATCTACTCATAGAGAGCTCTGTGGAACCCTATATTATTCTGTGTACTCACTTTCTCAGGTGACTTTTGAGCCCAGTGGCTTGGATGTGGTAGGGCAAACAAATGAGAAAATGTAAACCATCTTGACTAGTTGCTCAAAATGGGACCTGCAGACCAGCAACACTGACCTCCCCTGGGAGCTCAGCAGCACCCCAGACCTATTAAATCTGCATTTTTAATAAGGTCCCAAGATGACTCAAATGCATGTTAACGATCGAGAAGGACCACTCTATAAATTCCCCTTGTGAAAAGCAGAAATGTCTACTCCAGTGCCTGTTGTTCCTTCAGCTAAAGGAAGAAGTAACAGCTGCCATAAAAGACCTTCGTGAGGAGTAAATATATTATTAGTCAATGTTGCAAAAATACAACTGATAGTTAATCTTTCAGCTCCCCTCCATACTTGTTCACCTCCCCAAATTCAGTATTTTCTCAAGTACTAAAACTGAATCAGTGGCTTCCCACCACTCCTAGCTTCCATCAAGCAATAAACTAATAAACCTCTGAGTGTTTAGGATGTGCCATCCTCAGAACAGGGCTACCAACTCAGGCTCCAACGTTAAAAGGCTGCAATTGCTCTTGTAACATTAGCATGTAGAGGCTTAGAGTGGGGATAACGCAGAACTAGCTGCAGTGCGATCCTCAAACTGCTTCTCTCCATCTGGAGGCCGTGACCATTGGTGAATGTCCTCCATACAGACGGGCATGTGACTATAACACACCTCAGAAGGTTGCTCCAATGATTTAACGGGATCATCATGCTGCTACCTGTCCATGATAAGTCCTTAAGTCCTCAATAAACATTCATAACTAAGTCATTACAAGCACAGAGATCTTTACTAGCAGTGATGTGAGAATCACACATGAAGAAGGCTAGATTCAGAGAAATTAAATAATAACATA